TTAATCATTTATTTATTGTGTCTATTAGATTGAATTTATAATAAATAATTAAAAAACAAAATAATATTCTCCATTTATACGCGTCATTGATAATTACGTGTTAATTTAACTTTCATTCATATAATAAATAATTAAAAAACAAAATAATATTCTCCATTTATACGCGTCATTGATAATTACGTGTTAATTTAACTTTCATTCATATAATAAATGATGAATAATTAGAAAAATAATGTATAACAAATATTTATTTAAATTATATACAAATGTATATTTTTAAATATTTATTATTATAAAAATATATATATATATATATAAATAATTGAATGAAATTATTTAATTATAATAATAATACATTGAATAATTTATTTATRATTCTATTGGATGTTAAATATCTACAAAAAAAAATAATATTTATCAAAAATGATAAAAAAAATTTTGAAATATATTTTTAATCTCTAATGTGTTTGAATTTTAATTTCAAAGAAAAAAAAAAAAAAAACAAAACATTAAAAAAATATTTAAAAAATGAAAATAAAAAAATAACATTTCAAATTATCCATATTATCCTATTTTAAAAATAAACTTATTTGCATAAATAATTTCATATAAAATAAATTCACTGATTTGAATGATGATGATGCACGTTATATATATATATATATATATATATATATATATAATACTACAAATAGAAATGATTTTTTTATCATAAACTCTTTCGAAATTTGTTCAGTTGATATTGACAAGAATAAATTGATGATAAATAAAAGAAAACAATAAAACGAAATAAAATATAAAAAAAGAAAATAAAAGAAAAGGAATAAATTAATGATATAAAACAGAGGTTTCTCAAAACTTTCCCATTTAACGACGACGACAACGACGACGACGACGACCTCATTTTATTCAAACAAATATTTTTGCGAGAGAGGAGAGACAGACTCTATCTTATTTTTTTTCATTATCATAATCACACACAGACATACTCTTTAATATACCACTACAAAGCACGTGTGTATGATACTTTTTAAAAACTGGTTTTTCATGGAAGTAATTTTCAATCTTGTTTCGTTTACATGAAATTTTTTTTTTTTTTTTGTAATTTTCACTCAAATTTTTCATTTTCATTCTGAAGAAGAAAAAATGTAGATTTTTGTAAAACAAAACAAAAAAAAAAAGAGAGAAACATTTTCTTTATAAACAATTTCAATGAAATGTTTGATTAATGTATATTTACATCACTACGTTATCTTGGATTTTACAGCTGTTATTACATATAACTATGTATATCAATGATTTAATACTAATACAAATATAAAATATAATATAATGTGATTTTTTTTTAATAAATTGAAATATTGTATAAAAAAAAAAAAGAATAACAAGTATTTTTAATATAATAAGAATTAATTAAAATAATACAATTATTATTTTTAAATATTATTTATTTTATAGTATGTAAAAGTTAGTATATGTATAAAAAGAAAAGAACAATTTTATTTTTAATATAATAATAATTATTTTTAAATATAAATTATTTTATATTCGTTAATATGTAATAAAAAAAAAAAAAAAAAAGAACAAAAAGTATTTTTAATGTAATAATAATTATTTAATTAAAATATTATCACACACCTGTATAATATCATCTCACAGATTCTTCAAAGTACATGTATTATATGTATAACTGTGTGTGACCTTGAAGAGAATATTATTCAAAAATACATTTAATTCAATTTCTATTTTAATATTAATATTAATATTAATAAATATACAAGATTGATAAGATTGTATTGATATAAACAATTCCTCAAAGTTGCATAGTATGGTAGTGTGTATGGTGATGGTTGGTCATCAAGAAAAAAAAAAAAAAACAGGTTTTTCCCAATAGGCTCCTACGCCATATTTATTGTCTTCCCATCGATTATTTGATCCTCATAGACCGGTTTTCTAACGTAGTAAACAGAACGAGGGATACTCGTCGGCGAATCTGTTTTATATTTATGAATAACAGAATACACACATATATATATATTCTGTTTTTAAATTGCATGAACTAATATCATACATTGAAATTGAATAATATTATTTTTTGTTTTTTTTTGAAAACATGATTTAGGTTCGATACCACCATTCTACAGAGAAGTTTACGAGAAGATTTGTTCACCAACATGTGGAAACGTCGAACGTGAAGTTTTTAAATCTCTTCTCGTGAAGTCTCAACTGAGCAGCTCAATTCTCAGTCAGGTAAGAGAATATAATACTATATTTATATATATTATATTAAATTACTCAATTCAGTCAACGAATTACCTTATACCGCCGTCTGTTAGAATCTTATCGAACTAATAGAGATAATCATGACTCTTTATTAATAAATAAAATAATATTGCGATGATAAATTGAGATATAAACTATTCTATCTTTCAAGTTGGATGAAACTGCACACAGTGTGGAAAATTTGATTAAAATCGGTTCAGTTGTTTAGGAGTCTATTGCGGACAAACAACGTGACACCTAATTTATATATATAAAACTATCCTATCTTTCAAGTCGAATGAAACTCCACACAGTGTGGAAAATTTTATTAAAATTGGTTCAGTAGTTTAGGAGTCTATTGCGGACAAACAACGTAACACGTAATTTATACATATATTAAGATAAGATAACAACTATCACAATTGATTAATATACATTTTAATAAATTCATAAAACAATCTTATTAATGATAAACTAAATAATAATAATTTGATATTTAAAAAATTGTTTTAATTAAACTCGTAAAAATAAAAGAGAGAGAGAGAGAGAGAGTATATGGGTTTTAGGGGAGGAAAATAAAAACATAATTGAAATAGTATTTTTTTTTTTGTCTTTTTTTTTTATGTAATGGTATATCGACGAAGAAGTAAACTTATCGTTTAAAACACGCCCGTCAATGATAATACACATAAACGCCCCTTTTATAATAGTAAAAGATTATTATAGCGAATGCACACACAGGGTCATTCATAAAATATCATCGTGTCACGTAATTGTCCTTATAGTTGCTGTCATAAATATGAGGGTGAATCTATTTCTATGTTCAATTGTTAAATTTATTAAAATCAAAAGAACAATTTTCTATTTTTTTTTTTTTTTGAAGTGAAAATTTCTTTAGAATCAGGGTAATTTGAAAATCGTGAAACGGAAGAACGTGTGAAACCGATGAAACAAAAATAATTAATTAATTAAATTCAATATATATAATTTAATTCTATATAAAAATTCAGTGTCACAATATGTTTGTCCGCTAATAATTCCAAAACTACTCAATTTATTTTCATGAAATGAATTTTATTTCACGTGATTTTGTCCAACTTAGCACATAGCACAATTTTTATGGCAATTTTTTTATTATTATTATTATTTTTTATTACTAATTTAAAGATTTTTTATTTAAAGGTTATCTAGATTTTGTAAGTTGTTTTCAATAGATGGCACTGTATTACAATTCAATTATTTCGATATATTCACGTCTCGAAGCTTGGTTTTCTTTGAAGGTTTCTATTCTACCGTGTGTGATCAAATATTGTGATGATTGATTATAAAATAAAAAGAATGAAATTTAAATTAAATTTACATGGATTTTTTCACAATGAATCATGTAACATGTTAAAATCACCCTGCGTTCTACCTTCCGATTAGGTGAAATCGTTTGATCGTTCTCTTCCGTGTTAAAAGTGTATATAACATATATATATATATATATATATATATAAAGTATGTGTATTTTAAAAATAGGTGCGAACAATATAAAATGTTTTGTGAGTTTAAATGGATACGTCAAAACAAACTTTCGCGAAAATAATTTATTACATCGTTTCAATGTAATAGAATAAAAAAAGAGAATTTCATATACTGGGTGAGACAAAAGTATTCACGTAAATTCTAAATAATTTATTACAATGTTTCAATGTAATAGAATAAAAAAGAGAATTATATACTGGGTGAGATAAAAGTATTTATGTAAATTGTACAAATTAATTATTAAATTAAAATTAATTATACTATAATAATTATATATTATATTATATTATTAAATACTTTATCCTAGTTTTTTGTTTATAAAATGATTTAAACAATTAATTAATTTTTAATAGTTTCGTAAAATAAATGTTGTTAAACTTGTTTAGAAAGTTTTGACCAATTTAGTATTACAATAAAATAAATAAAAAAAAAAATTCAAAAAAATAATATTTTATTAATATTTTAGTTAATAATTTGAATACTAAAAAAGAAGATCGATATGTTTATATTATTTATAAAATATTTTAATATATTTTATTTTATATAAATAATATTAAATAATAATTATAACAATTTATATAAATAATATTAAATAATAATTATAATAATATTACATATTTTATTTTATGTAAATAATATATTTAACAATAGAAAATATTTTGTTTTATATTAAAATAAAATATATTAACAAAGTTTAAAAATATTATTCTCGTCTTAGTTACAGTGACTGTAAAATTACGTGAATCAAATCGTATTCGTGACACAACGATTGTTAACAAAAAATTATCTTTTTATTCATCATGATAATTCACTTTGAAATATCCTTGAGATCTAAATTAAAAAAAAAAAATAAAATAAAATAAAAATGATAGAAGGATACAATTTCTTTTTTTTAATTTTATTTTATTTTATTTTATTTTATTTTATTTTATTTTATTTTATTTTATTTTATTTTATTTTATTTTATTTTATTTTTATTAAGAATAAAATAAAATACCTGTTATATATATATATAACGTGATATTTTATTTTTATTATATATATATATATGTATCATGATTTGCAATGAGATAAATGATTATACATAACGTGTATTACTATAGTTATGTATATATATATATATAGGATCATGTCGATGAAATTATGTGCGTACCATGCTACGAACGACACGGACATATTATTAAAATACGTGAGATAAATCTTACAAATGAATCTTGTCATTTGATTTGTCTTTCTCTTTCTCTGAAAACAATTTTCTTTATCATAACAAAATTGCAGTTATTTTAAAACACGATGTGACGAATCTTATCATTCACGTTTTTTTCCCCTCTTTTATTTTTGTTTTTTTTTATTTATTTAAATTAAACTCAAATGAGTCAATTATATCAAAAGATTGCAACACAAAATAATTTCCATGGTCAATAAAATTTTTTATTTTCAATGACTTTCAACGAGAAATAAATAAATACAAAATTAATATATAATTTTAGAACAATTCTAATCATCTGGTTGATTTAATAATAAAATTAATTTTGGGAGAATATAATTTGCAAAAAAAAAAAAAAAGTAATTGTGTTGACTTTTTTTAAGATCACTTTCACACAAAAAAAAAAAACGTTTTACAATTTAATTTAATTTAATTTAAAATTCCACTTTATTTGTGTTTAATTAATCTCGTTGTATTTTTTTTTTTGTTTTCTTATAACAATAATTAATTATAATATATATTAATAATAATGATAATTTTTCATAAATTTTATCAGATTTTAATGCAACAGGTGTATCATATTGTTTCCGCCATTTTTTTTCTACAAGCCATCTGTAGGATTTCTAGCAATTGAATACGCTATCTGGTGGCTAAATTCAAAATTAGAGTACATAAGTCGAATTGCTACTCCACGTGGGATCCTCTAACACTTGAATACGCTATCTGGTGGCTAAATTCAAAATTAGAGTACATAGGTCAAATTGCTACGCCACGTGGGATCTCTAACACTTGAATACGCTATCTGGTGGCTAAATTCAAAATTAGGATAGATAGGTCAAATTGCTACGCCACGCCTCTGCCAAAGATCCCAATATATGTAATTAAAATAATATTATTACAATATAATTAAAATAATATTATTAAATAAATCAACGTAGAAAATTTATAATTAATATTATTAATTAAATTAAATTTCTAATTTGATTTATAAACGATTCAAAATGGATTTGTAATTTGTCTTTGTTTTTTATTTTAACATTTATCTGTAAGATAAAATGTAAAATAGATAAAAGAAATTAATGAATACTTACTTCATCTTCATGCACGTCATAAGACTAAGATAATCTATTTATATTCTAAAGTAGTGGGGGTATTGCGGGATGGGGAGGGGAGGGAAGGGAGGGGAAAGGGTGGGGGTGTACTTCTGGCGATGAACTTGATTGACGATTAAGGTTTAATGACATTTCTTCAAGAACAAATAAGAAAAATCAAAGTAACGAATTGAAATAATTGACTAAAATTACGAGTATGATTTGTTTAATTAAATGTTTGTTTAAAAATAAAAAAAACAATCACACACACATATATATATATATATATATATATATATATATATATATATCATTTAATTTAAACCAATACTAATTAATTAGAGTGTGTATACTTAAGTGTTATGAACTTTATGTAAGAAATTGTCAGTGTCGTGAAGAAAAAGAATAAGAAAAAGAAGAAGAAGAAGGGATGAAAATGGGGTGGGAAAGAGGGGAAGGGAGTAAGAGGAAGGGAATAGAACGGCAAGGTAGGAAAAATCATCGGAATGCAGTTACTTTCATTTGTGGCCTAATCTTTAAGCTACCGTTCACACAGAATTCAAATCGCACGTGGCCGTGTGTTGTTGTTGTTGTTGTTTGAATTAATTATTTTTTTTTTTTCTTGTTTAATAATTCTCTTTGTTAAACAAATTTTATATTTTTAGGTTATATTCTTTTCTTATTTTGATTTTAAATTATATTTTTATTTTTTTATTATTCAAACTATATACATATATATATATATATATAGTTAATGTTTGTAAATATGGGAAACACGTGGATGCCAAGATTTATTTTTATTTTTATTTTTATTCTCTATTTTTRTTTTAATTATTTATTATTGTCTATTCAAACTTAGAGTCTATTAAAATATCTTGAGGAGTGGGGTTTTTTTTTAAATATGGAGCATGTTTTTTTAAACATGGCGCATGTTTTTTAAATATGGCGCGTATTTTTTTTAATATGCCGCATTTTTTATAGATACGAGAAACTCATGGATAGCAAGATTTATTTTTATTTATTATTATATTCTTTTTTTATTAATGTTTCAATTATTAATTATTTTTTATTCAAACTTAGAGTCTATTAAAATATTTTGGGAATGGGATAGGCCGTGGGTGGGGGGGGATTAAATATGGCGCATTTTTTGCAGATATGGAAAACACGTAGATATACTAAGATTTATTTCTATTTATTTTTATTCATGTTAATATTCTCATTTTAATTTTGATTTTTATTGAAACTTCTCGAAGTTGATTAAAATATCTTGGAAATAAAAAAAAAAAAATGAAAAAGATATAATATATCTTAAATTTGTGTAGATATGGGAACTCGTGGACAGTAAGACGGGTTATCTGACAAGAAGTGGATTGTACAAGGGTCTTGCTCTCGTAGCATTTGCTCAACAAGGAAAACAACCTAGCGACAAACTTCTGGAAAACTCGGAATCTCAAGGTAAACAGAAATCTTTTTATCTCTCTTTGTGATTTTTTTTTGTATCTATTAAATTTATCTCTTATATAATAAAAATAAAAATAATTAAATCAAAATTGAAATAACAAACCCCCCCCCTCTCTCTCTCTCTCTCTCTCAACTTTTTCAATTAATTTTAATTTTATTTCAATTTAACAACGAGAAAGTTTCACGTAATTTAAAATAAAGTTGAGAATAAAAAAAAAATAGAAAAAAAAAAGAATAAGTCTCATGTAGTTTGGAAAGTATAATATAATGTAAGAATGTTATCGTACAGGTAAATACTTAGATAAGACACCTTACAGTCAACCTGTAAGTATGCCAACGTACATAAATTAGTCCTCACCATTTCCGTTTAGGTTTATCTCAACAAACACACACACACACACACACAAATATACACACATTCCATGTATGAACTTTGTATAATAAAATCAACGAAGTCTCATATAAGTATAACAAAAAAGTCTAATGAATTATAATAAATTAATAAACTAATGTTCGACTTTGATAAAAAAAAAAATTGATATAAATAATAAAATGCAATTTTATTTCGTTTGTTTTATTGATTTTTGTTCGATCTAATTGTTTTAGATAGATTTATAAAATTTGTTTCGTATCACGAAATCAATGTATTAGAGTTTAAATGCAAGTTGTGATCACTATGCCGTAGGTCAAGAAAGTCCGTGAGTATCTAGGTTACAACGATAGTGATTATCTTTCACGTCGTATTTAGAAAAGTAACAATATACAAGAGGAAAATGCATTGCTTTATACAAATAATACAATGTACATACGTATATTAAAATTATATTCTTAACTTTCACTCAACATGACGTTTATTCTTTAAACAAAAATTCATATTTTTCTTTCACAATTCTCTCTCTCTCTCTCTCTCTCTTACAAATTCTATTTTATATATTTAATTTAATTAATATAAACATTACATTTATTTTACATTAATATTAACAAACGCATATATGCGTTCGTAGCACTCTAAGGGTTAACTGAAATAGAAGAAAATTATTTTATTATTAAAAATTAATGAAAACAATGTGTTTTTTTCAAAATGTCGATAGAATTACCCGTTCCTGTTCTTGGTGATTTAACGGAGGTCACGTTGTTGGCACAAAGACTGCACCGAGGTAATAATCCAGCTAAACTGAATCTCACATATACGGACATATGCAATTTAGATTCGATAGAGGTCAACTTGGTACCAGAGAAGAAAGGTATCTTCTTAAAACACGTGGAATATCAAGTTACGAGCAAGGTAACAAACCACATTCAACTCATTCACAAAAAGTTACTTTCAATTTTTAAATACAATATCATTATTATAATAATATTAATATCTTTAAATTTATTTTTATTATTTTACAGAGATTTAATTCGGTAGTTTGTAGAAGATACAATGATTTTGTATCGTTACACGAACTTCTTCTAGCAAGGTTCCCATACAGATTGATACCGAAATTACCACCAAAAAAAATGGTTGGAGGTAAAGTGTGTATATATTTTTATTTTATATAACATATATTTTCTATATACAAAGTATCTATCTTAGTACAATATACAAAGTATATACAAAGTATATTGTACTATATATTCTGTATACAAAGTATATTGTATAGTATATATTCTAAATACAAAGTATATTATACTATATACTCTAAATACAAAGTATATTGTACTATATATTCTAAATACGAAGTATATTATACTATATACTCTAAATACAAAGTATATTGTACTATATATTTTGTATACAAAGTATATTGCGTGCAGTATATATTCTAAATACAAAGTATATTGTACTATATATTCTAAATACAAAGTATATTGTACTATATATTCTATATACAAAGTATATTATACTATATGCTTTAAATACAAAGTATATTGTACTATATATTCTATATACAAAGTATATTGTACTAGATATTTCGTATACAAAGTATATTGCGTGCAGTATATATTCTAAATACAAAGTATATTGTATTATATATTCTATATACAAAATATATTATACTATATACTCTAAATACAAAGTATATTGTACTATATATTCTAAATACGAAGTATATTATACTATATACTCTAAATACAAAGTATATTGTACTATATATTCTATATACAAAATATATTGTACTATATATTTTATATACAAAGTATCTCTATACATCTTACAATTAATTACATAACAAAAAACAATTAATGACTCATCCTATACAATATATTATTATTATTATTATAATATTTACAACAATTGAATAATTTAATTTATAATTACAGCAAATTCACAGTTTTTGGAAGAACGAAGAAGATCCCTTCTAAGGTTTCTGACATTAATCGCACGTCATCCGGTTGTCAACAAAGATCCCATCTTACATTTCTTTTTAACTTATGCCGGTGAGGAAACCCAGCACAAAATACGTGAAGTTTTTCGACGAGTATTGGATGAATTTGCAACATCCGAATTATCATCGAGGGCTAAAGAATTAGTACCACCCGAAACTCTTACCGAATTTGCTAACAGTAGAGATCAGATAAGAGTAATACTATTAGGTATAACACGTTTGAAAAATATAGCTGATTGTTTAGCTATTAGAACTCATACTTACTCGGTAGACATGGAAGAATTAGGAACCCAATTGAACACTTTGGCTTGTGAACCACATGGTACTAGTTCTTGGGTTACCGGTGGTTCCACGTTATGGGAGGATTTAAAAAAAGGTTTTCATGTTATTTCAAAGTGAGCATTCATTTTATTCTAGACAATAATTATAATGTTACTTTGTTATTTTAAAAATACAACTAAGTTTTGTTATATAATGTTGTTTTCAGAGAATTTAATATTTTATCGAGTAAAGCATTGCAACAAGCAGTCAGAGAAGAGACAATCATATGCGAGAGACTGAACTTTTTATTGGATATTCTCGTAGCACATAGAGTATTATGCGAAAGACATGAACGTGGTGTTAGTGCTGATCATCAACGTGCATTGTCATCTATGTTGTCATTAAAAAAACGACAATTTACTGGAGCCATTCGTGGGACTAATGTAAGTAACAGAAAAATTTATGCGAATTTCGAAACCTAACCTATTTTGAAATATATTCTGTATTTGTATCGGCCATTTTGGATTTATTTAGAAAAAAGATAAGTGCACAAACTTATTGGGCCAATATTCAATGCTTTTCATTTCTATCGCTTCTATTATTTTTCTATTTGTATTAATTTAGTTTTACATATATTCCAATTAGGCGGATACAGTCGAATATTTGGAAAATAAAATGATAGCCCAGGAATCGGTCATTGCTAACGTCGAATTGAGAAATTGTTTTTCCTTGCATTGTTTGCACATGGAAACGCAATTGGTGCACGCACACCTGGAACTACTTGCATCAGTTTTACAGAGTCTCGTTAGCGTGCAAATTAGAGGACACACAGAGGTGAGACTTTACTTACATATTCATCATTTTCTTTTATTATTAATTGTTATTAATTTTTTTTTTTTACTCTTGTGTGTTTTTTGTTTCTTCTTTCACTCGTTACGCAATCCCTAAATGGATTCTCGAGGTAACAACAAAATAATTTCAAGATTACAAATAATATTTCCATAACGTTTTATTATTATTCTTCTTATTGTATCAATCATTCGAATCAATTTTAATGAATATATGTGTTATTAGTTTTAATTTGTATAATTTGTAGCTTACCGAAGTATGGAAGTCAATTGATTCTACGATCGCAAAATGCTTCCCGGGAAAATCAGCTCACGGAGTTTTATAGCGAAAAAAAAAAAACGAATTTTTATTAACAAAAGAAATCTCTCATCTTTTAGTGATATCATTTGTACAAACCATAATAAGTAACGAACATGACTGATACAAACTCGAAAAAAAAAAAAGCAGCAACAACAACAACAACAAATCTCTCATAAAAATTGGAATGAGACAATAAAAATATTTGACTAGGGTTAGTTTTCAATGTTACCTGATAAATTTGATATTTTGATTATTTCAGTAATATATTTTAATATTCTACGAACGGTCTTTATTATCTGAACAATCTAATTCTAATATTTTACTTATCTATATATGTATTTTCTATTTTTATTTAATGGCGAAAATTTGTTTTATCTTTTTTGAACGATAAAACTAAATGGCTGGAACAATTTGTGAAATAGTTTATATTATAATTATAAATTATTATTATATACATTGTAATGTAATATTATAATTATATATATATATATATATATATATATATATATATATATATATATATATATATATATATATATATATAATATTATATTATGAATTGTCATTTAGGAATTATGTTCGTTTATACAAAAGATGACAAATGGTTTGTCATTTTTCTAAATACCCGTAATACTTTCCTCTTTAGATAAAATAGAATTGATTATATAATTTATTTCATTTTTTAAATAACAAGCAACGTCTCGATACAATTTTAAAAAACAATTTTCATACAAAATGAATGAGAGAGTAATATAGAAAAGGATTGTACAGTCAAAGAAAAATTTTAAACATTCCTTGTTATGTACTTAATATATTTTATGACATATGAAATAATAACCGTGTGATTATTTTATTTTATTTTTTTTCTTTTTTTTTTCAATAAGTTTTGCGTTCAATCGTAATGTGTATATATATATAGAAAATTAAACAAGTATGTAAAAATAGGAAAAATTGTATCATAAGAAGCGTTTTAGGATAAAAAAAAAAAAACAAAAACAAATCTATGTAAGCGTATTAGATTTGATGAATTGTAAATATGATTTTTCTTTTTATTTTTATTTCATTTTGTTTCATTTATTTTCCTTTTACGTAGAACGAAAGTGTATTTCATACACATTTATTATGTTACAAAATCGAATAAAAATGGGAAAGATTTTGACTCTACTTTTGTTGTGTTGTTCATCACCACGTTGATCGTGGAATGTTTAAATATTTTCAACACTTTTATATCATATTCAAATTTATCAACGTAAGATTAATCGAATAAATTATTAATTAGTTAGAAATAAATATTTTTTTTGTATTATATTATTATTACTAAGATAATCATTAAATTATTATTACAAGATTTTATTATTATAATATTTCTTCGTTTCACATGACGCAATTGTCACGTATGTTGTTGTGTTGTTACACGTCACAAACGATAAGAACAAAATTCCCCCCCATATATATATAAATTTCTAAGTAAAATGAATAAGAAATAAATCAAAGAATAATGTCGCGTTCAAATCGATAAACAAGAGAATCTAAATTGTCGACCCTGCGCATAGTCAAAGAAAAACATGGTGCAACTTAACCTCAAAATAGAAAATGTAGCAAACTCATGCCGTGGTAGGAGCAAGGCAGTGCTGTCAGACAGTGCTGTCAGATCGTGGGTAAATCTTACCCTCTCCCTGTGCCACTGGGATTGCACACAATGAAAGTTTTCCATGTCGTGTGTTTGGGATGTCGAGGAAAGCCGAGTGTAACCGAAGTTGGCGGTTGGCCACGAAGTGGCACATTATGAAAGCGACTCGTGTCCATGTGTTCGGACGCACGAGTCGCTTTCATAGTGTGCCACTCCGGCGTGCCCGCCAACTTCGGTTACACTCGGCTTTCCTCGAAATCCCAAACACACGGACATGGAAAACTTTCATTGTGTGCAATCCCAGTGGCACAGGGAGAGGGTAAGATTTACCCACGATCTGACAGCATTGGAGCAAGGTCATGGAGACTAGACAAGGAGAACGATCTCAAACGTATCAATTGTCAAAAATCTGTCCACGTAAATCGTATATTTAAGTTTTCTTGGTTCACCACTAGTGTCGCTAATGTTCCTTTTGCACTGTTTTGAATATAGTAACATAAGTGATCCCATTCGTACGATAATTATTGTACACGTCACATAATTTGAAGCATTGTACGATCGTATATCCAATTTAGATTATGTGACAGAAATGTACGATAATTTGAGTTTTTGTACGATAATTTACGATAATTCGATAATTTTCGATATGTATCGATTATGTTTCGATTGCAGCGCCTTTTATTGCCCTACACAGTCTTATTTATGTATCCTTGCAATTAATGTATAAAATTGATTATGTTGTTTATTTGATGATATTTTAAAACGGCAAAATGGCCATACTATGAAAATATACTTTTTTTACACTTTTGCATTAAAAAAATCTAGAAATTCGGAAAATCTTTATTAACCTAGCGTTAAAAACTTGAGATTGAAACTTTTTTTCTGTGCGTATGATAATTTTACGGAGAACCCGATAATTTTACGGCACTGTGTCGATCAGTGTGTAGGGCAATAGGGAGCGCTTCAATTCGAAATATAATCGAGACAAGACATATCGATAATTAATTATCGAATTATCGTAAATTATCGTACAAGTTGGATTTTGGATCGTACAAGGCTTCAAATTATGTGACGTGTACGATAATTATCGTACGAATGGGATCATTGCCGGTACGAATGGGATCAATGAACTGCCACCTTATTCCCCTTCCATTTTGGTACAAAGATCCCTAGTACAAAGAGAACATGGGCGCCCTCTTTTTTTCATATCCCATTTGTATACATGGAGTTCGTGTTCCCTGTCTAGTCTCCATGGAGCAAACTGATGCAATCAGCTGACCAATGGCGGCCATATTGAAATAACGAATAAAGTAAAGTTCTCATTTAATTAAAACTTTGTCCGCAAGGATACTAGCGACACTTTGGTCGAAGCGGTCGATTGGTGGAAAATGGAAAGGCGGCTGCGTATTGTGATGCATAAGATGCGTCGTATAGAGTGCAGCAGCTGTAATGATTCCTAGGTATAGTGCGATGGCGACCAGAAGGGCGAGAGGTTCGGTTTATCGTTGATTTTAATTTCATTTCTCGGTAGTGAGGCCAAGTGCGAAGAAGCTATTCGCTGGTAGAACTTTATCGTATTGTTCGTCGTCGTCGTCGTAGTCGTGTAGTCGTAGTCGTTGTCGTCGTCGTTATCGTTCTCGTTATTGCCGTCTTCGTCGTGGTTGGTCGTCATCTCCGTCATTTTATTTAGACATTTAGAAATAAACTTTGTCAGATTTATTATTAAAATACTTTTTCCTACGTCACGATGATAATAGCTAATCCAAAAATTCGTTAGCTCGTGCGTTATACTGTTCCTTTTTGTCATCGAGTTACGTGAAATACGAGAGGGGAATACGTATAAGAAAAGAAGGAAGTATAGATATAAAAGCATATATATATATATATATATATGTAGAGAGAGAGAGAGAGAGAAGAAAAGTGTAGAAGAAAGAAGAAAAGATAAAAAGGAATAGAAAAGAAAAGAAAAAAAAAAAAAAGGTAAAAAAGGCAAAAGAAGTTTGTTAGTTAAACATTTAAACAATCATAGATAGAAAGAGATAGTCATATATGTCACTTTATAGGACGTTAGGAAGAAACGACGAAATTTAGGGTTGTCGCGAGTGCGCGTGGGTGGGCGAGGCGTGTGCACACGGTGCGATAGAAGAAGAAGAAGAAGAAGAAGAAGAAGCAAAGAAGATAGTAGTAGTTGTAGAAGTAGAATAAGAAGAATAAGAGGTGAAGTAGTAGGAGAAAATTGTGGTGGTGGTGGTGGTGATGGTGATGGTGGTGATGGTTTTGGAATATAAGAAGCTGAAGAATAGTAGTGTGATCTCTCACTATAAGTAAGAATCTTAATGAGGAGTACTTTTTGAAGGACGAAGAAGATTAAAGGTGTAACACACATAGAGGATAATAAGTAACACACAACTATACTACGACGAAGACACTACGACGACGAGCAGTATAATCATCAAGGAAGCATCATGAGCGACGATAAAAGCGATGATGATCCTATAATGGATATTTGGTATAGTAATTGGGAACAACAGTGTGTTGAAGCTTTGGAAACTGAACCGGAATATGAAAATCAACTACAAAACGCTAAAGAGATGTATTCACAGCAGTTATGGGCTAGCTTTCAAACTACAGCGTCGGCCATCGCCCAATTCTATAAAGGCGAGCTTTCTGCATATCCAACACATATACATATATATATATACTATAGATTGCATACATATGACGTTATCTTTCTCTCTTCATTTTTTTCCTTTAAACTAGAACGAACAAAATGTCACGAAATTCGAATTTAATGAACCATGAGTTCAAGTGAGATAGATAGATAGAGAGAGAGAGAGTGAAGAAAGATAGGAAAGAAAGAAAATGAAAGGGGTGGATGGGGAAGGGGGGAATGAGGTAAGGTGAGGAAGAAATTATAAGAAGAAGAGAACAAGACAAAAGATATATCGACATCTTCGTCGTACTTGATTGACGCTGACATCCATTTTGATAAGACGTTCCTTCTCGTTCTTCTTCGTCATTCCTCCCTGCTGCCTATCTTTCTATATATATATATACTAACACATACATAGATTACATATACATCTACATCTTTGTCTTTTCTCATTCTATATATATATATATATATATATATATACATCTTGCGTCTTTAACGGAATCTCAATTTCTACCCTTCCTCCCCCCCCTTTCGTTTGATTCTCTCCGCGCACATGTATCGATCCGATCATGGCCTGTAATACCAGTTCCCTTTACGGTTTTTCTTATTTTACAGATCGTACCCAGAATGTGTCACTTTGGCTACCCTTCCAGACAGCTGCGGGTACTGTCACGTCATTGTACAAAGGTGCGTGGACTTTCTTGGATGATGATCGCTTTGTTGTCAACACGTTGGGGTACGAAGATGTGGTGGGGAGGAGGAGAAAAGGAGGGGGAAGAAGAATATATATGTGTGTGCCTGGCTGGCTGGCTGGCTGTGTGCGTGCCTGCGTGCGTGCGGCGTGCGTGCGGCGTGCGTGCGTGCGAGAAGGAAATTAAATCTTTGGGTCCCTCTTGTGTTCTCCTCCTCATTATTTTTTTAATTTTATTTTATTTTATTTATCTTTCATTTTGCTTATTTTTTTTTTTTTTTAATGACGTTTGGTGTCTTGTCCCGCCCCCTTCTCTTTACTTCCATCCTGATTGGTTTAACCTGCCTCTTGTCTCTGAGTCTGCATGGAATGTTTGTTTGCTTATTTGTTGGCTGCCTGTTTTGTGCTTAAAGCACTCTCCCTCCCTCCCCCATCCACCCTCGCACGAGCACGAACGATGGATTCTTTCTTTGTGAAAAAAATGCCCCCTCCCACACACACACACACACTCTTCTACCGTCTCATCCCCACTCCTTTCTGTTGTATACCACCTTTTTTTATTTTTATTCTTTATTATTATTTCTGTGAATATATGAATATATGTGTTATGTTACGTGTGAGTGTGTATGTATTACTAACTCTCGCTTGATATTATTATGTGTGAGTGCATATACAGCTGACTAGTGTCGAAGGTCAGCTGTTATGCATACTTCAAAAAATTATGTACATCTTTAACATTAATACTAGATATACCACCATTTGCAGTATACCTATTTCTACCACACTAGTCAAAATGACTGATGTATAAAAAAAAAAAAAAANAAAAAAAAATGCTTTTTGAGCTTTGCTTTTTAGTCTTTATTTATTCTTAAAAATTAACAACAAATATTTAACAGTAATAATTTTAATAGATTAACAATTTAATAGATATTTACAGAACTGAAATGTTACATGCAGTAGAAATTTCGAATTAAAATGGCTCCGACCAGTCAACATGACAGATCTCTGGTATATCTAGTGTTAAACCGTTGTATGTGTGGTGACTGTGAAATTGTAATTGAAATATCAATGATGCATGTTCTCCAACGAGTATAATATTTGTTTGCTGTATAAAAAAAAAGATGATAAACCACAGAAAAATGTTGTTTACGTTTAAATATTGTTTGTCTTCTTGTCAATACGTCAAACTGTCAAACTGTGCATCATCAATTTGAATCTCTTTGTATATTATAATTGAACATATAATATTTGTTTCGTCATTCGTTGGGGGAGAATGCATCCATAGTGTTTGTGTGTTGTGTTGTTACGGTATTTAAATAATTCATGCATGTTAATTTGGATTCCTTTGAACAGATTCGGTCGATAGTATGCGACGGTGCAGTGAACTAGGAATAGAAACCGGAAAGCAAAAACGTAGCAAAGAAATAATGAACTGGGCTAGGAAAAAGAGGCGCATGATCCGTAGAGAAGATCTGTTAGCGTATCTTGCTGGTAAACCACCTCCACCAAGACCACACTCGCACAGGTTAAGGATTTTTTATAAATATATTTATATATATATATATGTATATATACATATATATATATATATATATACACAAATATTCTTTCTTTTCTTTATCATTTTGTAATGAAATATTTATTTATTTATTTATTTTTTTTTTTTTTACATAGACGTAAAAGTTAAATCATAGTTACATATCATACCCCGTCGTATCTTTGTCGATCCGTTGTCATGTATCAAAGAATTAGTTAGCAATTATTTTACGTGTCTATTGTTAACAAAAAGATTAATAATAATAATAATAATAATAATAATAATAATATAAAATAATTACAGAAGTTCTCCAAAACCGAGAATGATGGTATGTGGTTCTTCACCTTCACAAAGCCCTACACAAAGTATGGGAGTATCACAGACATCATCACCTGGAATAGATTTGGATCCTGAATTACACACATTTAGAGAAGCTATATCGTTATCCGGTAAGGAAATATTATTGTATCATTTGTTTCATTCGTTCATTAATTCAAACTATTTTTCTTTCTTTTTTATTTTTCTACAATCTGTTGTAGGTGGGATGGATATTGAAAAAAGTGTGCATTCCTATATGATATTAATAATTTTCTAGGCTCATCGGTGTCAAGACGTTCCGGAAAGCAAGCAGAATTGACTTCTTTTATAAACAGCGAGTTTGCTCGGCATCACAAACGGCCTGCCTCGCACGACGTGGATATGGGATCACCTACGCACAAACGTTCACGTCACATGTAACGTCGCGCTACGTGTAAAGTAACCCTCACTCCCTTCTTGTTCCCTATTATTAATTAATCAATTGATCAATTAATTACTAATGATTCTGCTCTCCCCTACTACGTGGTTAACACAACTCTCCGGTTAAACGAGAGTAATCATTTCGATACACTACCTACTACTACTACTACTATTATTACTACTACTATTACTACGATGGCAATGGTGTATAAATATACATTGTTACGCGAGTACGTTCGTTCATTCGTATCTCGGTGATGATCTTCCAATTTTGTTTTTCAAATGTCACGATAATCTTCTTTTTTTTTTTTTTTTTTTTTTTTTTTTTTTTT